TCATTTTTAATGTACACACAGATCCCAAAATTATGTCGAAATCGGTGGTGTAGGTCATAGCCGGGATAAAAATAGTTCACAATAGGTGTTGCAGAACTGATTTTAGTTTCAGTGAGAACAAGGATGTCAGGTCTTTTTTCTTCAAGATGTTGGTGAACTGAATTCATATTTGTACTTATTCCTCTTATATTGCTAAAATCAATTCTGAGTTGAGTTTTTGATCTTCTCGTTATATCTTTGCATGAAGGACCCCCAGGATCACCCGACGCCTGGAGATCCGAGTGGTCGGGTATTTTACCTCCGGAATATTTTGATCCTGGAGGCGCCATCATGCTATCTGTTACTCATTGTTGGAACCGGACTGCCAGCGCAGTAGCGGAACGTGGTGATACCACTTAGCGCTACTCAATTCTGGCATGGTGGTATCTCACCGGTCGACGCCCAATGAGTAAAAAGCGTCTACCACCTACCTATACTTACGAAAGCGTAGATTTATGTATTTTTTCAGTATGACGTCACTCACAGCAACGAAAATTATTACTATCCTTTCCACTTTTAACTTTGACTTCACTCTTCTCCTTTTAACATTAAGAAAAAAAAAAGATAGCGATAGCGATTAGTGACAAATAGGTCGATATGTAAACAACACCTAGCACCTGCCGCAATCGTCAACTTCATGTCATGATGTCTGTCATATAGCGATTTCATTTGTACCTGTTGTTTTTTTCTATTTCCTAAATGTTAAAAGGAGAAGAGTATAAGTATAGGTAGTCAAAGTCAAAAGTGAAAAGGATAGTTCTAATTTTCGGTGCTGTGAGCATACTGGTGACGTCATACTGAAGAGTGTCAAATTAAAAAAGTTTTTAATAGATATCTTGAAAACTGTTGGGTATTGAACATTAGCGCAATGACCACTTTTGTTAAGGACGACTCCCTATACACAATATCAAAAATTCAGCAAAATTCCACATAGATCACTTTTCCATAAGAAATGTCCTTTAAAATATGTACAATGTTGTATTTTTGTGGCCTACATGCACTTCCGACACTGGTTTTTTTTCCCTTCAATCATGTCAATGTCATAAGTTTTATTTACTTACCGGTGAAATGATAAACAATCCCCTGGTTTTCCTCTTTTCTGACACACTACACACTTATTGGTCATTTTGAATCCTGAATAGGAAACTTTCACAGAATGTATAAAAATGTAAATAATTTTTTTAAAAAAAATTCCACTTTAAACTGCTGAAACACCCAAAAAAGACGATAAAAAAACTACAACCACAAAACATCCCCCCTTAGAAATGTAAGTCTTATGAGAGACGTCAGTCTAGTCGTTTCAGCTTTCCCCTCCAATCACTAGAGGCGCTTCAATCAACCTATTAAAGTTTTCTTTTTCCTGCCGGACCGTGCGCCAAGATTTGAAGTTTATTTTGTCATTTCCAGTCGTCAAAATTTAAATTTTGAACTTCTCCCAACATTTAGAATTATCAATTACCTATCAATTATCAATAATTATTATCTCAAAATGTCTTCTCCCAGTTTGTTAATTGAAAAGCATCAGAAATGCTGTGTTCCGGGGTGCGGCGACAAATACAGCAGCTATTTCCGGTTTCCAAAAGATGCCGAAAAAATGAAACAATGGCTAGAAAAAGTTCGCAATCCTTTACTACATAGCCTAAGTGTCGAGAAGGCTTATAATAATTATAGAGTGTGAACAAGACATTTTCCTCGAGAATTTATTGTTGGCGATCCAAAAGCCAGACGAGGACTCACATGGAATGCTGCGCTTTTGCTGTATCTCCCTGAAGGTAAGTTAATACTAGATATATGTGAGAAAGACGTACTTACATTTTCACTTACTCCTCCCCATAGTTCTGATTAACGACAACGTGTTAGAATTCGGATTTAAAGGAGCATAGGTCAGAAACATTAAAATTAATTTTAATTTTAGCCCCAATTATCAAAAACAGCGAGGAGTCGTTAATTGATAAACCACAATCACCATAATGGCAAAAAGTGGAGATCGACTCAGTTGAAACTCGTCGAAGAGTCCTAAGACGCCTTCAGAAATTAGTTTCGCGACTATGATTGACATAGGTAGGTAAACATAATAACTCTGTTCCAACACGTCAAAAAATCGTCCCATGAACGGTTTCGAAACCACTCAGTATAACAATTTTAGTTTCTGCGCAGAATCGTGACGGTACATTGTACGGTTTTCTGCAGTGTTGGAACAAAGCTAATATTATTCATTTCTTTTTTTTTAATGTTTATTTCTTTATCAGGAGACACAATAATTAAAATATTCCTGGTTACATACAGGTACACCATATTCTACAATGCATGTATCCAAACTTTTTTGGTAGAATCATTGGTAACGAAATTTCTGTTCTAGATCAACCAGGCCCTTCATGTCGTCAATTTTTATCTACTGAAACTTCTGCAATTCGGGCAGACATTGCTACACCAAGTGGAACCATCACATCTGCAAACATGAAAAAGTCACCAACCAACTTTGTCTCTTAAAACTTTTATTGGTAGGTACCTAAGTGTTATTGCTTAATGAATAATCACCCAGTTGGGAGTAGGTGAATTTTAAAACATCCTAACTCAAGTAGGACTACTACTATAAAAGACTACTAATTACTAAAACTTGCAGTCGAATGCTAGAAAAATTAGAAGCTAAATGTGCGAAAAGCTCGTCTCCAATCTTGATCTATTTTTTTTTTGCAGGTCATGAGAGACGATGCCAAATTTTAAAGAACATTAACGTCACTAGGCAAAAAATTCCTATCCCCAAGGGAAAAATATCTTTATTCCAAAGTTATAGAAGCCAGCAATAAGTTACGAAGAATCAGTAGAAGGTTGTTGTCATTTAAATCCAAAGTTTCTGCTGCTGAATAACTTGCATCATGAACCAAATTTCAAAGGCTCGTAGACCACGTCAATCCATTGATATACAGCTTTATTTTAAGCCAAGTCCGTACTCAAAACCAAAAGCCTAAAGCTAGACGATTTACATTGGACGAGAAGTTGTTGGCGTTGTCTTTGCTTAAAGCTAGTGGTAAAGGTTATAGACTATTATCAAAAATATTTATTCTATCATCCAGGCGAAATCATTTTCTTGAATGAGCTTTATATTATGTATAACTACATAAACTTTCTACCTAACACATGCGGAAAGTGTATTTTCTGGACTTAAAGGCTTGTCCGAACTCTGCTTTTTGTTGTCATTCGTGCAACTTCCATCACGTGCAGAAACACTTTCCTCACTTGTTAGGTTAACAACGATTCTGGATTGTGAGAAAAGGACCTCTTTTGTCATTTTATTTACGATTTAAGTTTTTCATCAAGCTATTGTTAAATGTACGTCATTACTTCTTGTAACTGTCCTTATTATCTTTAACTTAACTAGCATTACCTACCTATGTATGTATACTTACATGAAAAAAAACTGTTTCGCAATAATTGTAATTAATTCCATATTCTTTAATATTTTCTGTTTCAAACTTTAATAAATATCTAAATTTGTCATCTTAATTCTTAGTCAATTTTACCTTGAAGGCGCTTCAACACTACCGATTTTATGAGTTTCTTCTTTTTGGCACAATTATTTTATGCCAAAAAATGGTAGAAACTTTAAAGTGGTGGTGTTGAATCGCTAGAATCAAACGATCCACCAGAACGAATAAGATACCGAACGAACCCTAATTGCGTTTTGCATTCGCCAATAAATCCAGAATTACAAAAGCTTACCCCCCCAGTCACTAGAGGCGCTGAAAACTTATAGACAGGTTCTCAACACGGCACTTACCTTTCTAAGGGGGGATGTTTTGTGACTACAACAATATGAATTTTGACATTCACGCTGGCACAGGAATCGGTTTCTATTGGGAACCACCCAAACAATATACTGTGTTTAGCTAAACTTGTATAGTGTCCTTTTCGTTTAGATATTGGCTTAGAGAGAGATATCTAAAGATCTAAAATCTAAATGAATTTTTGGAAATCGTACTATAGAAAACCAGCGTAAACAAAGTAAGAGAGATAAAATCAAAATATTTGGAGAGAGATCTTTGTACCATATTTGGAAGTTGATTACTCATCTTTTAGTGCTAACTATATATAATCTAAAGTACGATGGCTTTATTTATTGTTTTTATGAATATACTGCAATTTTAATTGCTTCACATGACTGCTGCATGTTTGTCTTAATTTTTTAAACAAAAAACCCTACACTTTATTTTTTTCCAAGATAGATTTTGACATTGAAAACTTTGAAACATAAACAATAACACTTGACCCTGACTGGTCGCAAAATGAGGTGTTTCTGCAGGTTGACATCAGTTTTACAATAGCGACCAATAAGCGGCGTTAGCGGCATTGTTTATGTTTCAAAGTTGACAGTGCCAAAATCTATCTTGGAAAAAAATAAACCATAGGTACCTATGATATATATTATTAATTCATTGATTATTTTAATGATTAATAATGATACATATAAGTAAGGTTTAATAAGTCTATCTCTAACAGTTTGTTAGAAAAAAAAAATAGATGTTCAGTCAAAAGAAACAATGTGTTAGAAAGGAGATCTATCTCATTTTCCTGATAGATATAAAGTCCTCATTGAAAGCAGCAAAACCTATTCCAAATAAAAATATAATACATTTATCTGATAAAAACGAAACAATAAGTTGAACAATAGTGCAGCTTGAAAAATTTTCCTATGACATTTTATTGGAAATTTTTTCCATGAACTTAAATTGGAAAATTTGATTTGATGTTTTGATGTCTCTTACTACCCTTTAAAGTTTGTCGGTATCTTTTTGAAATACCTTGTATATGTACAACGAAGATTGTAAGCTGTTGCAAATTAACTTGATCAAAGCAAATCTGGAAATTGAATAACAAGTCCTCAACTCAAGCGCTCTTTCAGTTGCAAGCTTTACAACAAAGAAAAAAAAAATTAGAAACTATTTTTATACTTTTTATTCCAGCCCTATCAACAAGGTCCGTTTACGACTACGAGATCATCCTCATCTTCCAATACCACACCCTCTCAATACCAGGCAATTCCCCAAAGATATCCGACTCCTGTCCATGGTTCACTTAAACGGCCCTTGCAGAACCCTAGTTACCACACGCCTACTTTTAAGGATAAGTATAAAAAGTCATCGTTTTCATCCACAATGTACCGCAGGTAGTAAGCGTTCGTTAATTTATTGTTATTAAATTGTATGGTATGGTAAAACAACTGAAAAACGTGCAAGAGATTAAAACCAAGTTCAAGGATAAACCATGTCAGTTATTTTACCATACAGTTCTGTAATCTAAATGTAAGTTCTTCATTTCCTAATTAATTCCTAATGAATATTTATGTATTTCTTATTATAATAATTATTTTATAATGGCAAATAATCCCTGGTCAAATTTTAAAGAATTATACACTGATCAAAACAAAAAAGAAGCCACTTCAGTAACTTAATATAATTTCTTCATTATATTAAAAAGAAAAATAACTGTTTTCTCAGCCAGACACATATGAAACCAAAAAAGTTTGCTCTCAGAATTATTTGAATAAAAAGATAAAATTATTTCATCCAAAACTATGAACATATTCTCCTTTTTCGTTTTGATCAGTGTATTTACTTTGTTGATCAATAACTTTTTTCAAAAACAATTTTTAATCGGAATATAATATTCGCTTGAAGCGCTATACCAACAATTTAATATGACAGATACAGAGTTGTCGGTATCTATGAAAATGGCGTACCATTTCAAAACGCGCTTGAGAAAAAAGTACAACATTTCGTACCTGAGGCTTTTTGAGAAGGCCCGATTCAGTGGTGTTGTCTAGTTCACCGTTTCTAAGATGCCGTATGAGAACAGGCTTTATGAAAATAAACCTACAATATTTTCTACATTTCCCTATAAAACTCGGCATATTATCTTATTTTTCTAGAGCCTGTTCTGATATACTACCAGATCGTTTCCATATATTTTAACAAAAAAGCTGTGTTCCGAGTTGCGATATTTCATAAACCAAGTCAAATGGAGGTTGGGCATTTAGGGGTCTTAGTAATGGCACGCTGAATTAATCACAATGAAAATGAAGTGGGACTTTTGTTTAAAAAAAATAAAAAACATACAGCATCTGAGAAACGGTAAACTTGGCATCCTGGAATCGGGAATTCCAAAAAACCCTCAGATATGGTAAATGTTGCAAATTTTTCTTAGGCGCGTTCTTTGAAATTTCTCAAGACTTATTTCTATTATAATTATTATCCAGTCATAATGATAGCCCTGTATTGTAACAGTTCGACAAACAATTTTTAGTGAATAGCATTATTTTTCATAAAAAAAAAGCAAATCAAGAAGTTGATAATATTGGTTAATACGAATAGTCAATAATTAGGACTTACACATCGTAAGATGTAACTTTCATATTGAGTAAGAAAATTATATTGATTGGCATTCCTTTTCAGGTATGTTTCTCGTTTCTTCTGTTTTTGATATTTAATGATAATTTCTTCAAAAGTTGGTATGTTTGTTATGGTTCCTTAGGTAAAAAACATCTGGGCCATCAAATATTACAGCAGATATCAGAATTATTTCTAAACTTTGTAAAATTCTAAATAATTTCATCAATTAAATAAGACTGAACATCAATTTCTTTTGCTTGGACAATATCTTCAGATTACTTGAACCATTTCAAAAATTTCGGTTATCCTATTATAAAATCTGTCGTAATATGCTCGTCTTGAACGCGTTCTATGTTAAATTTGCGTTTAGACTGCGCAAGTTCATTCTAACTCGTATCAGCGGATGATCACTTCAACAGTCATCTGCATTTGTTGAAACTCTCTTAATATATACATCATCATACCTAGTACTAAAATCCATATCCAGCGATTTTGTCACATTCACTTTCTATAGTTTCTTCCGACACGGTATAGAGAATTTTCTCGTTCAGTTCGTTCAAAGAATTTCAATTATTTAATCCATTCACTAATTACCAAAACTTCCTTTGTCTAATTGTCCGGAGACACGATAAGGTCTTCACCAGTATTACACAGCTTGGCAAGCTGAGTTCGAAAGTTTTTTCTCAACATTAGAATAGATTCATTTTTCCATCCATAGTGTTAGGGCCTCTAACTGAGGTGTCAACATTTAATTTAGGGATAGATCACTAGATCATAAAGGGGATGGGAATGTCACTGCTAAATAATGCACTCACACTTCCAGCTTTATATCTCTCTATTGTTGCCAAAATAATCGTTTAATAAAGTAATAAAATACTGTAACCACATTCAAGTACTTTTAATTATTCACAGGTTAGTTAACAAGTCGCATTTGAGTTATTCGAGAACATTCACTAATCGGTATAAATTCACTAGTTGTAAGTGCTCAATAGTCAATAATTATCAGTATTAGCGGAACGCTAATATTTTAGTTGAGAGCACAAGATAAAGTTTATTCTTAATAGAAATCTTCGGGAGTTGAGAGTTTTTATATTTTTAGAGAGCCCTTAAAAAAGGGGAGTGTGATTAACTCAATATTTTACGCGATATTATATCACTTGAGTTTTCAAGCCAGCAGCCAGAGAGATAAAAAAATAAGTCTTTTTATTTAGAGAGAGAGAGAGACTGCACAAGGGTGCAACTAGAGAGAATAATTAAATAATTAGAGAAAAGTGAGCAGGTTCAAACTTGTATAGAGCTAGACGTTTTTACGCACTATTTACTGCTAGTGAAATCACATTACTAAATTCACACTGCTAAAATCACACTGCGAAGTGAAAAAGATAAGGAATGCATTTTTTCCCTTAGCGACAACAAACCAGACTGGCTCGATACAGTACAGCCTGGTACGGCGCCAGCGGCAAATATTTCACGGCGGGGGGCTTTTTTGCAACGTTGCCACTGTGCATAAAAAATAAATACGATTGTTTGGCTGTTTCCACAACACATAGCGATAGCGGTCGAGTTTCATTGCGATACGGAAACACTTTCTTCCCTGATTTCGGCACCAAAGGTGTGCCGTTGCTTAAACGATTCTGTAGTTTAACTTCATAATAATTCTGGGAGGGGTTCTGCTGTGTTGCAGAATCTGGAACTTCCTACTGCTGGTTCGTGGGCAGGAGCAGGAGGTCAACCAAAAGCTAACCCTTCTCGCCAATTTTTCATCTAGAATATATTATTTCACTGTTTGCTTGTCAGAATGTGCATCTTCCTTTCCTTTTTTTCTTTATTGAAGAATCTCTTTTATTTTCAACTTTTCATACTTAGTTTTGGCTTCCAAAATCTCTTTGCCAAACCTAATTAATTTTTTCCTTATTCAACGCATCATCCTTCTCATTTGCTTCTCTTTCCAGTCGACGGTGCTTCAGCTGAGCTTCGCTTTCTGTTCCTTCATTTCTTCATTTGGCAATTGCTTTTTCACTTCTGTAAAAATTTTCAACTGTTTTAAAAACTTTTCCGCACTCATTACATATAGCAGATGAAGCCACAGTGGGTGTAATTTTGTTAAATTCTTCGGTCTCCTTTCCTGTTTCTTGGAGTGTTGTAGTTTCAAAAGCTTCGGCGGTTTCAATTGGTGCTGTTTTTTTCAATGATGAGGTTGACGGAGCATTCTCGCTAGCAAACGAAACAGAAGCTGCGTTCAAATTTTCTTCATGGGATATCATCCAATCCATTAACAGTAGTGAATCGTTGCTGTTAGTTTTCAATTCGTTGTTTTGTTACGGGATGATTTTTCCCGGGCCAAAATAAAAGGAAATAAGCTTATTCACCTCTCTTAATAGCATACCTTCCTCAAGCCACTGTTTTCTATCCAATAGTTGTAGCCACACTTTTCATCAAACTTTTCATTCTTCCCAGAATTATTAAGTTAGAGGTTTAATAATGGAATTGATTTCCTTTTAGTAGGGTTAAAATAAATAGTCAGTTAATTTATTAATAAATAAAATTACAATATTTACATTGGAACAGCTGATTGTCTGATCCGAGTAGATTGACTAGATTGACAGCGCTCCAAATGGGGTCAGTGACCGGTACTAACTTAATTTGAATAAGTACCATGCCCCAACTACCATCAAAATCCCCAGTACCTTCCACCTTGGAGTTTTGACAGAGACTTTTTCAAGGACATTGCAGGGACAAGCAGAGGTCATTCAGGTCGAGGACTTTCCACGATTAAGTGTTCGGGAAAATTCCTCAGGCACATTTTGCCGATTTTCTGAGTTGTCTAGTTTTCGCTTATAGATCTAGGGTGGCTAATCCGTTATTTTAGCACCCAATCGCCTTGTGCGGATTTTTTTTGTGAGTCGAAAAAGAGCAACGTGACCAATTGTTTGTTTCTAAAGGCCAAAGTATTTTGGTAAGTCGTTTTTCTTATTAATCTTCTCTGTGTTTCTCTATTTCCTATGTAAAAGCATAGTTTTCTGTTAATTATACGGTTAAATTCCGAATATTGGACATACCTACCTATTGCTCCACGCCCAGTCTCATAAAGTCCATTTATTTCAGGCCTTTACCTTTAGATGTCACCTTTTATTCGTTACGCTTTAGTCCCTGACTTTCAGTAAAGAGTTATACGTTAAGCTTACTGTATATTTCAAGTAGTACAATCTTCAGCCTCGTCTAGACCATTGGAAGCTTTAGTGACTCCTAGTTACTGAACTTCAGTGCCCAGGGCCAGTTGTTTCTTGTCGCAATCCTGATCCAGTTCCAGGTCATCGGAAACATTGGGAGATATTGATCCAATCCTTCAGGTTCGCCTCTAGAGATTAGGAACTACTCAGGTTTGATAAGTGTCTTGTATTCTTATTGTATTGTCTTAATATCAAACCTTACCAACCCCTGGTTGGAGTAAATCATCACAACAACGCAGTTCTACTACAATATTAAATTACCCTTCAAATTAGATGTTGTTATTTCAGTTTCAATTAATTACTACCTTTGTTATATGAAATTTACCATTCAGGTTATGTACTGTTAGGTACTTCAATTTTAAGTAGTTATCTATACCTTCTATATTATTCCATAATATTAAATTTGCCCCTCAGGCTATTTATTGTTACTTCAGCTTTGATTTTTGATCTATATTTCTCTTATAACTATCCCATAAATACATGCTGCACTGAATACAGGAAATATTTGAACACTGGGGTTAAATGGCTATTTACGAAGGTACTGCATTAAGTGAGCTTATTTATTAATTTATATTTCAGGTATTATTGCCGTTTATTAGAGAGATTTTAAGCCGCTGAAAAATCAGCATTAAACATTAAACGTTATACTGCTCATGCGCAATAGCTTGAGAATTGAGGATAATATAAATAACTGATATTGTGTTCCTTTATTTATGTTCCAATAAGGGCAACATATTAAGGGAAATGTTATCAACATCGTTGTCAAATTTAAGTTGAATAATTTGATTTTCAGATAAAAATGAAATAATTACAAGTAGAAGAAGTCCATCTACATGGATGCTTCTGCAAAACATTATCTACATTACATAAATTATATATTTGCTTCGAAAAACACAAAATATATACTTAACGAAATTTTGGTGGCATCCTTGTATTTATCCAGCAACAAAAATGTATATGAAATTATAGGAAAATCACTGAAAATAATCGTTAACGAAAGAAAATGTATGATTATGAGATTGGGAACAGCAGACGCAGTCGTCAAAACTTGAAAACTGATGTTTTCAACGTAAGCACAATCTAGTGGCTTCAAAAACTGAAATAGGGGATAATACAATACCTTATTTTGTACCGAATGCGCATGCCCCATTTAACGTTTAGTGTATAATGACTAGTCAGAAAATGATGGCTTAAAATCTCTCTATTGTTATACTTTTTATTTCTTTATTTAGGGACTCAAGTTGAGTGTAATTAATCATTATTGTAAATATTATTTTAAGAACATATGGTTAGATACTTCTAGACGATTTCTTTTCTTGCTCTGGTTCCAGTGGAAATAATTTTCAGTGTTCCAGGGCGTTCGAAAAACTCACTCCGAACCTGCTCTAGAGTCAACCTGTTCTGGTTTCACGTTTCTTGTTCTAATTAAAACCCGTACCTGATTGTAGCAAAGCGTTTCACTTTTGTCCTCCCTTCTTGTTTACGTTTATATTTCAGGTTGTGCTGCTATAGCTCCGTAGAAGTTTCCTGCTTTCGTTATATCGGTTGATTTCGTGTACTGCAGGGAAAAAGCAGGTGGCGCTCTATATTTAGTTATTTAATTGACCCACACCTCTCTCCGTATTGGAAGCTAGTCGGCAACCCTTTACACGAAATCACGTTTCTAGATTTCAGCCACCAACCAACTCTCTCTTTTCTTTTTATTTTATTTTTTTCTTTTTAGTTACCCATTAACTTTCCCACCTCCTCAAAATCTTATCATTAACTTCTCCCTTACGTTTTGCGGGTAACAAAGTGGCAGTGTCCGTTTTGCCACGTAATAGTTTTGGAAAGCCCATCTCAAATAATGCAGTCGCCAGATTAAGATTTTCCATTTTTTAATGCATATTTCCAATAAATGATAATTTCACGCTGGTATTTTCTACCGTATCTTCTGTAGATTATATTATGTTGTCCTAGCCAATCAAAGTTGCACAGATATATTTTAAATAATTAAGGGCCAAATTATGGATTGACAGTAAAAATAAAGGAAGGAGATATTATTGGAACTCTCGAACCAGTTAAGCAAATATCAAACTGTGACCTACCAGATAAGCGACATTTTGTGAAACCGAAATTGGATACAGACACCTTGATGTAGACTTTGGAAAGATCATGAAAACACCTGGATCCAGATAAATTTCAAGAAGCCATAGATTTCATTTCGAAAGAAGCAGACGTATTTGTGATGAATAATCAAACCGGACGAACCAGCTTAATTCAACACAAAATTGATACTGGATTGGCATACCCAATTAGACAACCACCACGACGTATGCCAGTAGCTAAGCAACAGGAAGTGGAAAACCAAATTGATAAAATGCTTCAAGAGAGAATTATTGAACAATTAAATAGTCCATAGTCTGCGCCGGTAGTATTGGTTACAAAGAAAGATGGAAGTCTTAGATTTTGTGTGGACTATCGTAAGCTTAATGACCTCATCAAGAAGGACAGCTTCCCTCGTTCAAGGATAGATACATTAACGATTCTGTCGAGCTCATAGGCGGTTCTAGGTGGGGGCTTGGGGGGGCTAAGCCCCTCCAAATCTCGAATTAGCCCCCCCAAATTTAAATTAGTGATGAGTAGCAAAAGTTCGCAGCCCCTGAATAAAAAATATTCAAGCGTTAGAATTAATAATTAACTACATAATTTCAATAATTTCATTGATTTAATAGCTTTATCTAATTATTTCATAAAATTTTATTCAATTATTTCATAAATATCTAAATATCCGTCTGGAAACAGAGGCAACCCTAGCCCCCACCGCTAGGGACAGGGTTGCCTCTGTTACCTGTAGGTGTGTGTGATAACTGATAAGTCGGAGCAGCCAAAGCTTACGCGCTGCTCTGCTTTGCTCTGCTAAAGCGGTATTATCTAGATACGATGTAAATCTGTAGCAACGTTGGAAACCTTTGGAGTAGAGACGTTGTAAAACATGTGTTTTTGTTGGGGTTGATTCACAGTTGCTTATTATTTTTCACTCTGTTATTTGGTTGTTTCGGTTGTAGTTTCGAATCCCACTGATGTCAAACTGTCGAACATTTTTAAATTCAACTCTTTTTCTATTAAAAGTAGGAAGTACGTTTTTGTTTTTTTTTTTTATCACCTTTATTTGTACCTCAGAATACTTTTATTTTATGTGGAACAAAACAATCATGTTACTTGTAAACAAAATTTCTTGTGTAATATTGAAACCGAGGGTGAAACTTTTGTAAATTTCATAAATAAATAAAAACAATTTTGACTAAATATTTATTAAAATATAAGGTTTTTGGGCGTGGCAGCCAAAAAAATTTTTAGCCTCCAGCAGGGCCTCTGGCAACGCCTGCAGGGGAGCAACCGCGGAGCAGGGGCTTCAGCCCCCCCAGCACAGATGGGCTAGAACCACCTATGGTCGAGCTTCAAATGGTTTTCCACCTTGGCAAGGACGTAGCTATAGCTTTTTCATGGGGGGGGGGGGGGGTTTAGAGCAGTGGCGGCTCGTGGTCTGGGAAAGGTTTCAATTCTAGATCAGACGATGTACCTGGCATATAGGGACGCCACCTTTGAAAAGAAGTTGAGTTGGGGAAAAAAAAAACGTTCATTGAAAGAAAAATGAGAAACAAAATTCCTTCAAATCTGATAACAGATGCATTTGCATTACACTTTACTATACACTGTGTCCGTAAAGTAACGGTTAAATTCATTATTTTGAGAACGGTAGAATTTTTGAAAAATCGATCAGACACGTCAATGAAATTTTTTGATATATTTTTTATTATACAGGGTGTCTCAAAAATAGGTCCGCTGCTATCAACTTTGTTTTTTCAAATAGATCACCCTATATATTATGACATTTGTGGAGAGTACGGACTTTACGGACACAGTGTACCTACATATGTATATATCTATACCTACACAAGTCCCCTCCGGCATCTCCGGATGTTGCTTGATGTTGGGTTAGTTTGGATTAGTTGAGTTAGTTGAGACAGTAGGAGAGAGATCCAAGGATACTACACACTACACAGGATAGCCTATCCTCATAAGGCCTGTGTAGATCAAATCTCAAGCCCCCACTGCACCACGCCAAAGTACCAGTACGGGTCGATCATCGTTTCGACGTAGGGTGTTTGCACCACAGACTATGATTCCCCTGGCTTTTGCTTCATGCATACTTGTGTTAGTACATTAATTAACATTCTAAAAGAACCCTTTTCAGATCTCGTCTGCATCTTCCTCGTTGCCTATTATGTTAATCAAAATTAAATAATATTTTTCATCATAAATGTATATTCTAAGCTACGACCGCTGGCACAAACAGTTAACGACACCGTTGATGATGTCACCAACGGTGGAACATCATATGACCTTGATTCCAAAAATCAAGGCCGATGAGCAATCCTGTAGTAGTGTATATTATCCTTGAGGGAGACCGTAGGTAACGATGACGCGTGCGTTTCGGAGAATTTTTTCGGGAGAAACAGGATTGCGCTGTTGCTAACCCGTAGAAAACACCTAGTAATCCGTAGTCCGGAGACCATATGCGAAAACCCGTAGACTCCGGATGAAACCCGAAGAGGTGACTACCTTACAGTGGCATAGTCGCCGGAGGAGATCGCCGAAGGCGGAAATTTTTTACGGATTCCACGCCCAAAAACGTTTATTTTTCTAAAAAAAAAAAAATTATTCAGTTCAATGGGGGGGGGGGTTTGAACCCCCAAAACCCCCCCTTATATACGTCCTTGCACCTTGGATCTGAAAAATGGATACTGGCAAGTGGCAATACACGGAGATGACAAAGAAAAAACTGTCTTCAGTACTAGAACGGGTTATATCAATTTAACGTAATGCTTTTCGGATTGTGTATTGCTCCAGCTACGTTCGAGCGACTGATGCAGCCTATTTTACGAAGCCTTACATGAATAACTTGCCTGGTATATTTAGATGATTTCATGATCATGGGAAATTCGTCAAAGAATCGACATGCATGAGAAAAACACTGGTCTGGCTGTGAGAAGAACAGGTTTGATCGTTGATGATAAATGGACTACCAAACAAAGGAGAGCAAATCAAGAAGTCGATCAGGACATCGGGTAATTTCTCCATCTTAAGGAAAATAATGAATGTAGGCTAGAAGGAAGGAAAGTGTCGAACAAAACTTGATTTACAAGGCGTTGTGGGCCCAGTGGAACTCTGTGGCCGTAGAAAATGGTTTACTTGAAAGAGTTTGGGAAAGTGCCAATCAGAAATCCACCAAGAGCCAACTGGTTATCCCAAAAAACCAAGTAGAAGATGTATTAAAAGAAATATATGACGGAACATTTTGGAGTTGACAAGACTTTGGATAAAATTCGTTTTCACTGGATTCACTATCATGAAGACGTTAAAAATTGTTGTCGAAAACGCGATATCTATGGTACCAGTAAAGGTCCTAAACTAAGATCTCGGGGGCCCATGAAACAGTACAACGTTGGTCTCCCATTTGAAAGAATAGCGATAGATGTTGCTGGACTGTTCCCTGAGTTAGAGCGTGGTAACAAATACATCTTGGTTATTGTTGTATTTGCTGGTTCAAAATGGTACTTTCGAAAATAAAATGAACACTACTGAACAGATAGCGGACTGTATACTAGTAAAATGACCTCTGAGCTGGTCAACTGAATGCGCAATAAAATTGTGAATGTGAATCTTAACGTAACCGAACTTACTTGAACCATAGAGTGTTCATAGAATTCGGCACGGCATGGTCGGCATTGCTTATTCTATGATGGCGGCGAATCGACTCCTTCCTCGTTGTCGTTGTGTAGGATTGAACTTCGGGAGGTTGTGCGCGCGCGGCAGGAAGTCCAAACGCGTACAGCTGGCTGTCAGAACGCGGATAATGAACGTTAGATCGCGCGTAATTCAAATATCAAAACGCACAATGTCAATAATTACAATGAATATCATGAACTCTACCAAAGCGAAACAGTTATAATGGATTACTTCAGTAAATGTCCAGGAGTTTTTGTTATCATGAGATACCATACTTTGAGTTCTAGCTGAAAAATGATTAAGGATGATAGTTTTATAGAATTATTATCGTTGAAAAAAATCATCGCTTTCTTACATCAAATTTATTGTTAATAAATTACATATTGAAAATACATTTTAAGTTTCAAGATGCACCATAGCAACAAAATAAGAAAACACAACGCTCATATGCAAAAACACAGTATTCCTGTTGACTTCGTAATATCTTCCCGCAGTAAATTTAACGTGGCTCATTTCAATTTGTATTGCAAAATCTCTGAGTTCCTCGAGCTCTTTTTCTGAACTGCAAATTTGTTGAAGATTTTTACAGGTTTTATCTAGTTTTTTCACTTCCGCTTTTAGCAAGCAACAGACGTGGGTAATTGAGTACAGAAGAATCTAAAAAATTATTTGTATAAAACCAATATTAAATAAATTCAATATTACGTGTGCCCTAAGTGCAATTTCCATGGAAGTTCTTACCAAATTAAATGTTCCATAAGCTGCTAACACGAAAGCCATCGGTGAGCTCATGTACTCAGCTATATCACTCAGCGGTTCATATATTCTAGCTACAACTTGCAGGCACTGAACTCCTATCAATAAGAAACACCAAAATATTGTCGTGCCAAATAAATCGTTTAGAAGTTTCATAATTTCAACTAAATCGAAAAATAATATTTGCCATTTTCTTGATAGAATTTCTTGTGGTGAATTTTCATTAGCGCATTGCAAATTGTTATGTAGTTTAGAGAATCTTGATTTCAAAGCCAAAATAAAACTTATAAATATATAACTTGTTAAGAAACAATAATATTGAAATACATATTCAAAGTAATAACTGTATGTAATGTTATGTTGAATGATCCAAATTGTACTAGCAAATATTATAATTAAATAGGCATTTATAAAATAAAATATAAAAGTTGGTGATTTTGTTAAATTATTTGTCATTATATTGTCCTCAGTTTCTATATCACTAAATTTATTTATAATTTCTTCATAAGTTTTACTATAGAAACCGGCTAAAAATACTGGATACATCACGGATATAAATCCCACAATAACTACCAATAAATCCAAAAATAAAAATGATTTTTTCAAAGTTGATTTTTTATAAGACTCCCGTATTATTTCTTTCAGACTTGTCACACCAAAATAAAACATTGCAATTAATATAATTGAGACATAAACTTTAAATATTCTCGATTTATTAATTTTATTAGTTGTAAAATCGAAACTTGGAAAAACACCAAAAACTTTCAAATACAAAGCAAAATAACGGAAAAACCTTATATTGTTGTGAGTGCAATACATTTTGTTGCAAGATTGTGAACATTTCAAAATGGTGCACTAATGGAGAAAATAAATTGATCCAATTACCTAATGAAATGAGAAGCATTATTTCCGGAAAAACGAGCAAATGGATACAAACTAATCGATAAATGTTACAGGAATATTTATTAAATAAATATTATCTTCCTATTTATCAAATTGTAACAATTTCAGGAAGTATTTTTTCACAAATTATCTTTTCAATCAAACAAGCAATCTTCGATTAAAATTTGCCAGAGGAACTTTCACGTGTAGGAACAAATTTATCCGTCCGCCGAATTTACAGGCAAACTACCTAAATGGTTTAGAAAATCGGTCTATTTTAGTGAACAAAATGGAAAATAATAGTACTTAACACTGTGAAGGTGTATGGTGTATTTTTTATTATTCGGCTACGCTCTCAAAAAGCGTCTAATTGTTTTTCTCTTGTTCAAAAAGAACAATAGGCGAACTTGACTATATTCGATGTGTTTTTGTTCTTGTTAAACGATTTCAATTATATGCTTATTGTTGAGGATATTCAGAAGATTAGCTACGGTATTTAGTTAGTCTCTATGGTGTGATTTGGTGGGATGTTCATCAGGCAGTTAGACGTTAATTTTTTTTTTTTCTGTACACTCATCAGTAAATTTTAAGCAAACAAAAATAACGTTAATTTTCTTCAATGTCTTGTTGATTTTTGATAGGATCATAATTATCTAGTGTTAGAGAATTAATCAAAAATCAATTACGTTTATTAACTAATTATAACCTGAAAAAATCTTTCTAACAATTTTCATTGCCAACGAAAGCTCAGACCAATCAGTGTAGTTCAACGTCGGTAGGGGTATTTGCCCTCGGAGTAGTTGTTTCTGACTGGTCAACGAAGTTCAATTTTGCTTGGACAGGGAGCTTCAGCCTATGTCCTTCGGATGAGTCCTAACAAAGACGAAACGCGTCGAGAATTGGCACGGGAAGTCTGGGTCCACTGCTCAGTGGGTTGATTCCCAAACAGGGACCGTTGTTTCTCTGTATATTCAGGTTGATCTTTCTAACAATTTTCATTGACAACGAAAGCTCAGACCAATCAGTGTAGTTTAACGCCGGTAGGGGTATTTGCCCTCGGAGTAGTTATTTCTGACTGGTCAACGAAGTTGAATTTGTTATTTTCATACAAGATAACCTAGGGTTGTGGAGCTCAAAAAAAATTAAAATAACCGTATCATAATAGATTGTTTGCTCCCAAGCAAAAGGTAGAAGTATAAGCAAAAGCTTCAAGTAAAAGGTAAAAGTAGAAGCATTTACTTCATATAATATGAATAATGAAGACCTTTTACTTGCGAGCATATGCTTCAAAGAAATGAAGTAAAAGATACTGTTGTCATGAAAAATTAAATCCACGAACATCAATTAAACGCATGACGTGAGGATTTCTCTGCTATAGGAAGTCCTTCAAAGGCCGAATGTATTAGACAACCCTGGTGACATTGCCGAATCTTTTGCCTCCCACTTTCAGGCTTCTCACTCAGACCACAACAACGCGAATCTCTCAACAGTCCAACCTGTTGTGTTCACATTGCTCCGAATTAAAGGAGATACCTAATTGATGAAATTAAGCAACTGGATACCTCCAAAAGTGTCTCCCCAGGCGGCATCCCGTGCCAACTGCTGTTTGTCTCTGGCCTTGCCTCTTCAAAATATTTCCCAGTGATCCTTCAACAGCGGCTGCTTCCCTAAATTGTGGTTCTCTTATCTTATTCTCATCCACAAATCTGGCGATAAATCCGACATAACTAACTACCTTGGTATATTAATTATGCCTGCTATCCCCTAAAGAATCTATCCTAACGGACGAAATATTTTGGAATTTTAAAAGATATATAACTCCGTGTACGTGCATCTCTTCAAGAGTGTCAAAGTCACGAATTTTTCTCATATTGAAAAACCATACAAATTCAAATAGGTATAGCGCCTCCATTGCAAGGAACACCAGCGCCCTCGGTATGGAACCGAGGTCGACAAAAAAGGTACGAAAAAAACACTCGATTCGTACAGCCAAGCGACGGCTAAACACACTCTCTCTCTTTTCGCCAAACACGAAACACGAACACACATTTTTTAATCCGTTTTCACACACAAGAAAGTCGATGAATATCGCGAGCTCGCCGGTTACCGGTTTCGAAATAAAAGCCGGTAGTGTTGTGCAACCGAAACAAAACCCGGGATCCCGGTATTAACAATTAACTTTGAACTAGAAGAACCCCAGAACCACAGGTAAGGCGCCTTTTATCATATTGTCTTTTGCTACATATTCATTAGTTGCGCTTACAGTCCACGTAACTCCGAAGGTGATTCTAAAATATCAACCATTACGCCAACACTCCGGAACAAACTAGGTTCTACAAGGAACGGTCGCAGCCACGAGCCTTGCTGTCTACCAGAACTACCTAATGTCTTCCATTGAAGCAGGGTTCCAAGTCGAGTCGATTTACACCGATCTGCTCAAGGCCTTTGACAGTGTTCAACAACTCTTGATCAAAAAACTTACTGAAATGGGCATCTAAGGAAACTACCTTGAGTGGGTCAAGTCCTATTTATTTGATCATCAGCAGCGAGATCTGCGGAGCATTGTTCAGAGAAGTGATCATTACATCAGGGGTGCCGTAGGGTTCACATTTCGAACCAATTATTTTCTCATTGTTTGTGAATGACGTGGCATCGTGTTTTGAATGTTCAAAGTTCGTGATTTACGCGGACGATTTGAAAATCTTCGACACCCCAAGGCCGACTCAACAACAGGATTGCAAGGCGACTTTGATCGTTTTACTTCATGGTGCTCTTCAAATATGTTAAGGTTAAATGATCCAAAATGCAAAACTATGAGCTTCTCTAAAACCACCAGACCAACACGACATACTTATACAGTCGATGGTCAGCCTGTGGATCACATCAATGACCTTAGAGTAATCTTCGACCAAAACTTCTCTTTCAATATACACATGGACAGCATCATATTCAAAAACCTCAGAATCTTGGGTTTTGTCTTAGCATATGGACGATACCGCAGCTTTCTGGAGAATTGCTCTGTTGTATATGGTTGCCATCGTACTCTTATCATCGCAAGACTCCAAGGTGTCCAGAATAAAGTTCTAAAACGTTTGCTGTACAAGCATTATTTCCCATCTTCCGGCATCCTGTATAAAGTCCGGTTGATATTGTGTAGTATCAAAAGCCTAGAATTCAGACGCAAAGATGCCCTATTTCTTTTTTTTGTACGAGTTAGTAAAGTCCGATAAATACCATTTTAAAGTCACGTGATATTGGTGGCAAAAAACGTATGTTCAATTCATTATGCCGTTGATATCACCTACAATAAGCTACTGGTGGTTAATTACTATTGAATTTTAAGATATGTTCCCACTAGCATTTTACAAACGCGTTTCTGAAGTAGTATTGACCAATCAGACAGTGTTGCCAACTGATGGGATTTGGAAATACCTAGATTTGAAAAAAAAATATCCCTAGAATTCCCTAGAATTTATTTTTTTCAAATTCATTTTAGAATTATTATCACACTTGAAATTTAAAAGAAAAAAAATCATATTTTCAAAAATAATCATTATTGCGACTCAAGTTTTTAAAAAACAACATAGAATTTCCAAAAACCAAGAAAATATTGTTATGACGTCACTGGTGGGGTGGCGACAGTATATTTGTTTTGGATCGAAATTTGGAACGGTTCTGAGATTACGCAGAACTGCTTGCGCACAAAAATAATTGAGGACTGCTCCAATACTAGTTCTGAACCGATTCGGAACCAACAAAACCAAAACACGCCGCAAATCACAAAATTCTGAAACAGTTCCTCCTTCAGAGCAAGAACTGAGAGAACCATTCCGTTCTAGACCATCCCAGAATTGTTCATAAGTAAATAGTTTTAGATAAACCAAAACACTGTCAAAACAGTTCTATTACGATCCTGAAATAACGAAAACGCGTTTTATAATTTGCGCATGTGCAGAATGATTCCGAATTCGTCCTGAGTGAAACCAAAACAAAACCAGTGAGGACAGACTCTTAACAACTGTCTTCTGATTCGACGCGATTGTTGCGGGAATCCCTACACACATCGTGATCGACACATCACGTTACACGAAAGGCATAGAGCACTTCACAACATGCAAAAATGCTACTGTTAGATGTTGTAGGTATGTAATTACTCAGACGAACCAATAATAAGGTCACTTCCGATTTTTTAAAGAATATGTAATACTATATATTATGTATTAATTTTTCTAGAATTTATTAACTTGTATAAGAAAAATTAAGAATATCAGAAAACCCCCTAGAATTTCCCTATAATTCCTAGAATTTTTTTTTCGCATATTTATCCCTAGAACTAGGGACAAATCCCTAGAGTTGGCATCACTGCAATCCGATGGGAATTTTAATACTTGCAATTGACGTGTCTCGTAATACCTGGTGTGCGCGCGCAACTCGTGGGTTGCAGGTGAGCGTCCAATGAAAATCGAGTTTGTTACGGGCTTCCGTCATATTCGTATTCAGGGACGAGTTCAGAATTAATCGTTTCTTCTTTCTTTATAACGTGTAATTCGACAAAGAGCAAACTAATACTTTACGTATTACTTGAACTTATTCCAGTGTCATTTAAGGTTATGTTGAATTATACTTGACATATTTTCATTGTGCGATATTGCCGGATGAAACATTTATCAAAATAAAAGTGCCATCGATGCTAACATATACTTTAAAGCTCTTCTTTTGTTTGATTTAAGGCGTTGTAAAACACTTGACAATATATCACTTCTTTAATGTTATGATATTCGATTCGTATTGTCTACATTTATTCTGCAACAATACAATCTGGCTACATTGCAGCCACGAGTTGCGCGCGCATGTCATAGACCTATCTCGCATGATTAGAAAAAGAGAGCTTAATTGTAATAAATACAAGTTAGAAAGCAATAAAAGATGACATGCGCGCGCAACTCGTAGGCTGCTGTGTAGCCAGATTGTATTGTTGCAGAATAAATGTAGACAATACAAATCGAATATTATAACATTAAAGAAGTGATATAGTGTCAAGTGTTTTACAATGCCTTATATCAGACAAAAGAAGAGTTTTAAAGTGGATGAACATCGTTTGCACTTTTATTTTGATAAATGTTTCCTCCGGCAACATGGCTCAATGAAATTGCAAAGGAATATGTCAAGTATAATCTTAAACGAAACTGCGGTGAGTTCAAGTAATATATAAAGAATTAGTTTGCTCTTTGTCAAATTACACGTTACAAAGAAAGAAGGAACAATTCATTCTGAACTGGCCCCTGAATAAGAATATGACGCAAGCCTGTCACAAACTTGCTTCTCATTGGACGCTCACCTGCAGCCTACAAGCGACGCGCGCAGTCCAGGTAATAGGAGATAGGTCTATTTTACCACATTTTACTATCACCGCTGTTCGAGATGTATTCAACAAAGCAAGGATAGAGAAAAATCACGTGACTTTAAAATGGTATTTGTTGGACTATAAACAGCAAACTTGACTGTACAGAGTTGAACGATAAGAAAAAATGGTCGTGAAGGCTAAAGAAGAAAACAGACAAGAATTTGCTTGGATGAAGCATTTCCTTCAGATTTTGTTAGAAAAAACAAATAAATGCTCTTTTTTATTCATAGGGTAGAACGTGTAGTACCTTTATGTGCAAATGACAGGGCCGGATCTAGGGGGGGGGCAAACAGTGGCGCGTGCCCCCCTTCGTATCTTGAGGGGGCGGCAAAAAGAGAAGACACCTTGAAAGACACTGCCTTACTTTTTTTCATAAAACATACATATCTAGCGAATTTTTTTTTCAAATTCATTATCTAATATTGTAACATATCTTCTGATAGAACAGCCGACCACCCCACAGTAACCCTACTTTGTATAATACCGTACTCGAGTTCTGAGCTCTACTCTTTACTGTTGGGTTGGGTGTTGCGTTTCACGTTCCATGGCTGGGATCACGACAAGTAGAATTCTATACTAGGATTTGGCGTTTCGAATATGAGGCAATTTTTCGCGAGGATAATCAAACCTAATCTGATTATGCTCGGTTATGTGATGTGTCAATTGTGTCATACTCCCCTAACTCCCACACCATCAAATTCTGGGCCTGCGAGTGACGTCACTATCAGCAGCTTATAGTGATGACGTCAGCCGCAGACATCTATGAAATGCTTGCGATTTAGGCTGTGCTAGTGGCTTCATTTTTTTCGTCGATTTTAAATGTAGAAAAGGTGATTTTCCGTCTGTCCTCACAGAAGTTCATAGTTGTATTCCTTTCAAGAGTTTGAAACACTCGAGCTACTCGCTCCGGTGTTTAGTAGCCCCCGATTTGCAAGGAACAAATGCGTGTTGCAACAAACACTTTTCGAAAGGAATAAGCGCGTGAAGCCCCGGAGCTGTTCAGGAGCTCCTCCTAGGTGTGAAAGGAATACAACTCTTGATCCTTGGGTATCCCAGAATTTAATGGTGGGGGAGTTAGGGAAGTATGACACTTGGACGTATGACACAATTGACATATCACATAATCCAGTATAAGCACTGATCTCAAAAATAAATGGATAAACAATTGTACAGCTTGATTGGCTAAACTTGTGCGAAAATTTGGGGTCAATATTCTACGAACAGTTGTGCAACAGAACCCTAACGCCTGCGCGGTGTCTTATTTTTCGAACAACTGTTCTAAATTTTGGAATATCCTTCATTTCCATTGACAATATTTTGCGCACGCACAGTACAATCTACTGCGCACACTCACAGCTATCCCAGTTGTTTACATTAGGACATCGTAAATTAGCAGCATTAGAAGCGTTTTTTATTTATGTATGAGATCAGTGAGTATAAGATAAGGCCTGATTATCCTCGCGAAAAATTGCATGGTTTCGAACATACGCGCACTTTTTTTATTTTGTGACTTGACGTGTGTATCGGGGGTTATTCGGTTATTCAGCGGTTGTACAACAGTACACTTGGCCAAAAATAAAACTGGTACATATTTTCCTATTGTATTGTGTAAATCGACCTTTTTTATCACCTCAACAATGACAAAAAGATTCAAGTCAGTGTCATATTTAAACCAATCATAACATAAAGACATGTTGCATATACTTTTGTTCAGGTTTGACGTTGACAAAAACTGTCTGACCTAAGTTTTTCAGAACAGACTTTTTGTTGTCTGACTCACACTAGGCAAATTTAAAATATATAGTATATTGCCTATACCAGTTTTATGTTTGGCCAAGTGTACAACATTGAATCCGGCTTCGACCACAGCTATGTTTTGTGCGCTACCAGCCCCCAGATAAAAAGACTTGTCAAATATTGAGCGATTAAAGAAATTAAGTTCTTTTAATTAATCTTTGATATCCCAATAAATTTTATTTGGAGGCTTGAAATACGTTTTTGGGCGTGGCACCCGGAAATAATTTCTGCCTTTGGAGGCACCTGCGGTGCGCTATAACTCTGGATTCCACGCGCTGGGCTTCAACTACTGGATCACTTTAGGTGTGAACCCCTACCAGTATAGACCACGAGCTGCTACTGCTACATGTAAATAAATTGTGAAATTCAACACCTCATTTTTGATATATACTTACATAAAAAATAATATTTAGCAGGGGGGCGGCAATTCACATCTTTGCCCCCCCACCCCTCGAAAAATTCGTAGATCCGGCCCTGGCAAATGAAACCACTCAAAATCCAACAAACAATAATTTTATTTTGTTTACAATGTAATATGTAACAGAGTAACAGTAAATGTCACTGTAAATCTTTAGTATTGACAGCTTGGTTTTTACGGTGAATTTGATACCATATATCTTTCCAATCCGGAGCTCTTCAATGGGTGTTGGGGTTTCACTTTCGTGAACTGGAGCCCTTCGTGTTGTTTCGTGTATCCAGGAAGAGGCTAGATTGCTGGGGTGACGTCACTCCAACTGATCCAGACTCCAAACAGTGATATTTATGTAGAGTAAAGTGCGTTTTTTTTTTCAAAGATAAAAGTCAAAATGACATTATGTTGGCAATACAATGTAAAATTGTCAATGCTTTCAAAATTTTTATGTAGAAAAGGGTTGTGTTGCCAACATAGTTACTAAATTTTTGACTTGGGGAATTATCTTTAAAAAAAAAAACAGATTTTAGGTACCCAGAAAAGAATAAGGCAGTATCAGGTTCACCAATATTTGGAATATCAAATCCCTGTCAGAAAGTGAGTGTCTTGTAAAGTTAATTGAAATTGAAATTTAATATAAAACGATTGTTGTACAGACACTCTCTTCCAACAGAATCAGGTATGAACAGCTATTGCAAGTTGAAAAAAAAATATATTTTAATATAAAAAAAATACAGTTAAATAATTGAAAATAATGGTTAGATAACAGTAAAATTAAAATGCTCCCTACAAATTGAGTAGAGTTCAGCTTTCCTGACAGTAGCTCTGGCAAGCAAAAATATGAACAAAATGAGGTAAAGCAATGAGGAATTAAATATTTGGATTCTCCCCCAAATAAACAAAATTTTCCTTTCAAATTAAGCTAGCTACTATAGATACAAGATAAACCTGGGGTTGAAATTAATCAAATCCAGAATATGTCAAAATTCTTGAGATGTTATAATTGAAACTTTTTTTACTGAAAATTTGACCGGTATGAATTTCTATTAAAAAATTACACCCTTTAGTCGAAATAATAATTGAGGGAGTCAAACAGAAAATGGTTATTCAGGCCTCTGTCTGGATTCAATAAAGAGTTGACACAAATTTGTTTCTCACCGACTTTATTTAGAGCAAATGGTCCAATATTCCCACACTAACAATTGATTTTGAAAACCAGAACAGCAGTACCTTTTTAAAATCCAAAAATCTGAGTTGACTTACCTAAAAAAAAAACGTAGCACAACCAATCAGCACTCACACAAAATGGAAGCCAACAATTAAATGAAAAAAATGAAATATAATATTTTTATTTCAAGAACAGATAAGATAAGATTGATCAGGTAAAACTTAATAATGATACGATAATATGAATTGATAGTAAAATATATTGAAAAATCTATAAGGGAGAATCCAAAAATTCAAAGCAAAAATTATTCAAAATAAAGAGGATTTGCCTGCCAGACTTCTGTTTTAGGAAAGAGGATGTTTTAGAAACCAAAGCCTACAGGAAAACGATCCCGTGTTTTTTATACTTAACTGCATTTTAACCAGTTGGACCAGTCAGACGAGTACACCCAAAAGATCATATTCACTTTACAATGAAAGACCGTGTGGAATAAAAGAGAATAGATAAGCTGTTTGAGGAGCGTTCTGGTAGGGATGCATCAGTGGTGTACACAAGACCCGTATTTCCCTCTAACTTCACCAAAATGCGCAAGGGTGCAATTCGTTTATCTATCTGTCTGCCTCTAACTTATATGTATACCTAATTTTGATGGGCGCTTTGACATGCCAATCGATTACAGGTGTGTTCCGCCTGTTTTACAGAACCGGCGTTGCAAGTAGTCGCTTTTAGTTTTAAACCTGCAACTTTTTGAAGCAAAGTCATAACAGGATAAAATATCAATCTGTAACAAATCGGCAACCAAATTGGAGGGGATACACTGGTGGTGGATTGCTTTATGTTGGCGATTTAAAATTTCGTTTACTGTAATGTCTATCTGTGTTAATGGAGAGTTATTGGACGTGCAATAAGGACAAGCAGTATTTAACTTAGCCTTATTTTCACATCTACGCATGCGCATTTGGGTCCGAAAATAAAGATTCCCTTAATAAGGTTACTGCTTGTCTTTATTTCTGTATGGTTAGTGCGAGGCAGTAAACTTCCCTTATATCAAATTTCTGACATTCTGGACGACTTTGACTTTTCGCTTTTCGACGATGACGTAATTTTACTTAGAAAAGGACCCCGCACATTTCTTATGGAAAAGTGATCTATGTGGAATTTTGCAGAATTTTTGATATTGTGTAGAGGGAGTCATCCTTAACAAAAGTTATCATTGCGCTAATGTTTAATTCCGGAGAGTTTTTAAGATATGAATTAAAAACTTTTTTAATGTAATACTCTTCAGTATGACGTTACCAGTATTAGACTATCCAAAACACGTGACTTTGACAAGCAAAATATGGCCGACAAGAGGCACACAAATATTGACACAAACACAAACCATAACGCCATTATGTTAGTCATTAATGATCATATTCAATACTTATTTTCTATTGTGTACGTCCCAATTTTTGCCAGTGTCTACCCAATTACGCAATGTATATTGTTTGGGCAAGGTTGCTTTACCTGCATTTCACTTGGACACACAGGATCTACCCTTGATGTGAAAATATTTATGTATTTCAACTCCACCGTCCAGTGTTGTGCTTTGATTTGTATTGTTTTTTTTTTACTCGGAATTTGAAAAAACTTAAGAATGTCTCGATCTCCACGACTTCCACATTTAATAATACAACACGTTATAGGCATGTTTTCGCGTTTTTAAGAACTATTTACTACTATGTAATATTCCGAGAAAATAGACTCATAAATCACAAGGTCATTTACTGTAAAAATTAAATAAATAATCAAACAATCAAAAACTGAATTTCCGTAACTATAAATCTGTATCGATAAATTAAAAATAAAACAAATTAACGTTTAATATTATATTAGGTGTTTCATCAAGCCCTGTGTCATCACCCGATCAATGAACTTTTTCTTAGCCACGGCCAGCATGTTAATTAATTTGATGATATATGGCATTCTTGAACCAATAATGTCTTCGACCTCGATAAATCAGTATATTACGACATAATTAGTCGATTTTTTGGGCTAAAAATGATATAAATTTCAAGGAAATTGCATCATTCTTTTTAATAATAATGAGGTCGTCCAATGGAATTCGGATTGCTAAGTAAACGGCCGCCTATATTGACGATTTGGGGAATAATTAATAATATTTTGCGGGGAGATCGAATTGATATAAAAACCGCGGAAGACAGTGGCCAGGACAGAACAGTCCAGTCCAGTTTGAGGTAAAGTCTGCCCAGTTTCGCGAAAAGTTACCTTTATGGCGTTTTGCCTCGGGTATAATTTAACTTAGAAAATTTACGGAAAATCGTAGAAGTAATAACATTTGGAATTCGTTCAATAATTTATGTGCGTGCTAGCTAAATATTTTGAGTCATTAATTAAGTAATTTTACGTGTGTTTTATGGACAAAATGTAAGTACTTTATAGTGACAAGATTTATTTTTGATGAACATGACTTTGTGTGATTAAACTCTGATTTTCATTGCATAAAAACAAACTGAGTGATTTTTACTAGAAATACTTTTGAATTTATAAACTGGAGTCTCTCTATTAAACATTAGCGCAATGATCACTTTTGTTAAGGACAACACCCTATACATAATATCAAAAATTCAGCAAAATTCCACATAAATTACTTTTCCATAAGAAATGTGCAGGGTCCTTTATTTTTTACAATAATTTTCCATTTTACTGTGGGTAACATCAAAAAATGGGTATCAGCAGAAAATCACAAACAAAAATAAACACTTTTTGAGGCTGAAATTTATAAACATAGCTATCACCTGTCAAAATTATGAATACAAAATAAGGTAATATTCTAGCACCTACTACAGTCTTCCAATAACTGTTTTTTTCTTGGAAAAATAGTGCTGATGCACTAATAAAATAACGTAGATCCTTAATACTGCGAGGCAGTATTCAATAGTTCCAATAACTCTCTATATGTCATTGGGTGTCCCACTTTTAATGCTCACGGCTGTACGTTTTCGTAATTAAAGCAGTCTTTGATATGTTTTTTTTTTTTTTCAAAGACCTGTTATAACAGTTTACAACCAGTAATTTATACCTACCTTTGACGTAAATAATTGTCAACATTTAATCAAATTTTCGTGCCTTGTTTTACAATTTGAAGAAAAGTTTAAATTTTCGTCCATAAAATGGCTAATCATAATTGTCCCGAGTTAATTTCTCAAATAAAATCGTTGTTGAATCAATACGAATCGTCACAGAACCAGCCGATAACATGCCCTCAAACTAAGGAGCCCTGCGTCACTTGCTGTATGGTTTGCCCACCGCCTATCATGGCCCCAACGGTGCCGGAACCGGTAAGGCCCCTACAGCTACCTTGTCCAGGTACGTAAAAAAGCAATAGTATTAGCAAAAAGGTTTGTAAAGAAAGTGAAGCTTGAATTATCATCAGAAGAAATTGATTTATCTTACGATCATTTTCCAGTTGCAGAAAATCAGTCACAAGGAATGTCTGATGCAGATGCTGAGAAATTCCGTATCGCCAATTTTTACAATAACTACAACATCGATTGGAGATCGGAAGCGAGCAGATCCAGTTCGAGAGCGCCAGATCCCCGAACAGATAAATACCAAGGCGTAACCACCGATGGTAAGAGTCCGTACTGTCCGGAAGCATTGAAAAAACAAGAGGCTAAAGAAGACCATGGATGTCCGACTGGGTTTAAACCGTGCAAGATGAAACTGGCGCCGCCTAAAGATTGTCATCCGTGTGGAGTATGGTGCGCCGAAATACAAGCTTGTCCACCGACGCCTAAGAAAAGGTTACCTAATAGAAACTAATATTGCTTTCTTACATGGTTAATTTATTAAAATAAAAAATACTCCAAATTATAAACGCCATTTTGTTTGTTTATCGATAACTTGTGGATTTATGTCCAAATAATATAGGCGATTTCGCCTCAGTTTGGTCTGTCAAACAGGTACCAACCAATTTCGGATGGGAGAATGATGCCGTCATGACAACTTTGGTAGGCGCCTTGGTCTGTCAAATGCTATACCGCGGTTTGACTGGGTAGTTAAGGTTTGGTAGCTTGCTGTCTCTTTCTGTCTTATGTCTAAATAAACATGTCAAAAGTTAAAATGTACCAAACGCCCTACACACTGAATTCGGATGAGATTGTAAAGCTACGTCACTCACGTACCAATTGGTTAACCATTCGCCTACCAAACAGCAGATGAAAATCTGGGGCGAAATCGCCTTATGTTAAACTATGGGAACATTCAGGCGGTGACAGCGGCTAAATTCAGCCACTCAGCAGGGACTTTATTCTCGAAACAGGGGAGCAGCATTAGGCCGGCATACACACACGTTATTTCGCACCGTTTATCGTGTCATCTGCAAAAGCCTGTGAAAAATCATATGCGTGAGTGAGGAGGGATACACGCAATGATAGAATGGGAAGAAATTTCAGACGTGCTGTCATCTGGAATGTAGCGTCAGTACTCAAATGTGTTTACACGCCATTCCACGTCACGGTTTTGAGGCTAGTTTAGGGCGAGTTCTCATGAGCGTAAGTTGACATTTCTGGCGTAATCACGTGATAAAATGGTTGGATTTTATTAGTGAAATATTCGCTATGCTAAAGATTTTACCAATCAAATTACACCTTATTATCACGTGATTACGCCAGAAATGTCAATTTACGCTCATGAGAACTCGCCCTCAGAGACATGAACGCCGCGTAACGAACTATCACTTCGAAAATTAGTACATGACCACATGCACTTTCAAATGACATGATAAATAACACTTTTTGCCCACACACATACAATTTTTCCTTTGAAACTGATATGCCATGCGTAATCACGTGCTAAATCATTTGAATATTTTGTCCAGTGTATGACGCTTTTTTGCCACGCCGTTCTTTTGCGCATTCAAACCGCTACATCCCAACACGCCACGATAAACCGCGCGAAATAATGTGTGTGTATGCCGACCTATTGTCATGAGAACGAAGGTTCTGTCTTCGTCCTAATCAAACCATTCAACTTATAACGAAATAACTCATTTAGAAAGGAAAAAAAAAAAATTGTTACCTGGACTTTTATAGTTGGAAATGGTCAAGAGGCTTGCAATAAACGTAAAAAAAAATCAATTCCACACGGGGGGTAGTGGAGGGTTGCTTTGGGAGGTTCAAAAGGAATGGAAAATGGTATTATTACGATTTTCGGCGAAATTACACATCAAACCGAAAAATACCCAATACAAGGGTTATAGATCATGCAAATATCTACAACTTTTGTGAAGGTCACTTTCAGCATAACCTCAAAACTTCCGAGAAAAATGCAAAAAACCATGTATTTTTTTACTTTTCGATTTTTCTTTTTCATTTCGAACAAAATAATTCAATTGTGACGAAACTTGGTGAAAGTATAGCTTTCTATGTCTAAATTGACCACATTTTTTTTCAAATAGAAAAATTGAAAAGTTTCCGAGATATTAATTTTTTTCTATCAAAAACAGTTTTTTTTCAAAAAAAAATTCTACGGTGAAAAATCATCGTACAGAGTTCTGCTTGTGCTCATTTTATTCGTTTTGACATATACTTTTTAGTGCAGTAAAAAAAAAAATAGCTTTCGCAATTCAAAAACATACTCAAAAATGGAAAAAGTGCAAAAAAAGACATTTGTAACAATGCATTTATGAGTAATTATTGATAATTTGTTTGAATTTTAACAAATCCCCAAAAACGATTATGCTATTCAATTATTGTATGGGAAAAAATACGAGAGAAACTTTGTTTCATTGTTTGATCAGAAGCTTTAGTTTTGTACAGAATTGCTATTATTATCTAAGTCGAATAATAATGAGGCTACAGTAAAATAAGAAAAAAATTAGTATATTATGCAATATAACATGCGAGTGTATTAATGGCCATTACATGAGAGTTGCATACACTATTTTTTCTACTGCCATTGATAAAACTTGATGATATTTAGATATGTCAACATTATGCTTAACTTTGAATAGGGCTTTTATAATTGGAGTAATAGTCGGGGAGCTGGCGTCGAAAATATGCAAGAGTTTTCGTAAGGCTCATATTTTCAGAATGAGTAGCATTTTAGTGCTACAAAGCTAGGCTACAGTCAGCGGGACACCTGGCGCTGAGATGCGCGCAAAGGTGTATTTTTAATCAACACCTCGCAACAGTTTTCGCAAAGCTGAAAATTTGCAAAGAGCATGCGAATATAATGTAGAACCATAATTTAACAGTCAGACAAAGAAATACGGGGACACGTAGAGTCAGCGCGACTTTGAAGTGGTCAAAAAAATGACGTCACCGAAAGTGGCAAGGTAACAGTAAAAAAAATATATTTATTGAAAAAAACAGTCAGACACTTCTATGTCGGGACTCCCTCAGTCAGCAGTCGATTAAAGTGATATAGGTGGTAGCGCGCGTCAATAGGCATATATCCATGTCGAATAATAATTTCACCAAAAGTGTTTTCGCATAGCTGAAATTTGGCAAGGTAATAGTAAAAACAATATATTTATTGAAAAAAACAGTCAGACACTTCTATGTCGGGACTCCCTCAGTTAGCAGTCGATTAAAGTGATATATAGGTGGTAGCGCGCGTCAATAGAATTTTACTCTATATATATCCATTTCGATGAATAATTTTATTTTTATAATTTAAATTATTTGGAATCGGAAACGGTAAAATAAAATTGTACATGCAGTTAAAAATATTAAAAAGTTTGCGGTTAGAAAAAAGCCCGATTCGTATAAATATTACTTGACCATTTAATCAGCAGTACTGTGATAGTATATAGTAATTAAATAAATTCAGTTTTAATTATATTTATTGTAGTTTCATTAAATACTTATAATCATCGCCGATTTTATAAAATACAAAAAAAAAATTCTAATCACTTAAATAGAAAAAAATTAATGGGGAAAAATTACAAAAATGAAATTCAATTTTCCAAATCACTGTCATCATGTTCTTCACCACTTTTTTCGTCAGAATAAAATGCTACTGCTCCATATTCTTCGACGCCCTCTGTAGTTGTGGATTCCGAATCTGCGTAAAACAAATATTCAATGATAAGTAATCACTCACATTAACAAACAAAATTTCGAATTATATCTATGAATTTATTAGCCAAAATTACCTGCAGATATTTCATCCGGTTGAATGATTACCTCCGAAATAAAATTGGGGAGCTGAACGCCTTCGTACCAATCGAAATTATACCGGCCATCAGCGAATTGCCAACCATTTAGCTCGGGCATCATGGAAGTCGGCACTTTTTCATCGGCGTGACTCCAAATATTTGAAATATACGCAGATCTTTTCATATGCTTTATTAATTCTGCCTTACATGGTGGTAAATTAGAAGCATCGATGCTTTTTGTAGCGATTTTGAAAGCGTCGCTGGTGTCATTAAACGTGTAGGCTTTATTGAAAAGTATGAAGCGAGCTTCGTTCACATTGTGTGTGTTTTTTATGCTATATAGTTGGCAAACAAATTTTTCTATTTCTTTTTGAATTTCCTCTGTAAAATTATCATTCGATGAACTCAAATTTTGAAATGCATCCTGCAACGTTCTCGATGCTTTCAAGATGTTTTACGGCCGTTTCTTTCCCTTTCTAAAAAAAGCCGGATTGAAATCGCATCCGGTAAACGCATGAAAAGCAGAAAGCGCTTTCCAGATGTTTCGTTGAGATGTTCCCTTGAGGCTAACAAGTAATTTGGTGGTGGTCTGTCGTGTTGATACCGTATGTTTTGTCTGGCATACAGGGAAACAGTTTCGGAAAGGGTTTCCTGCAGAAATCTACTCGATATTTTTGTTACAACGCTGCTACACATGCATTGAGGCGGGTGGTCATAGTTTTGAGCATCTTTTGATGTGAATCATTATTTCAAATAAATACTGCAAGCATTCTTTGGGTTCTGTATTATGTAATAACACAGGTTCTGCTTATTCAAGCACGTTTCTCCGTGTGCAAGGTGGCTACCACAGTGCGGACTGTAATGTGCTATTATCACCTAACCAAAGCGCATGCGCCTATCTATATATATATAAACGTGAAATTCACTCACTCACTGACTGACTGATTAAACACGAAATTTCGAAAACTACTAAACCAATCGAGATGAAATTTTGCAAACAGGTAGGTAATAGGTTGGAGATGCTCACTAAGAAATAATATCAACATGGCCTTAAGAAATCGCCTTAAATAACCAAAAATAAGAAATGGTGTGGTGCGGGAGTGCGGGGAAAAAAGTGTAAACAGAAATAGACGACGTGTCAGCTGTCAAATTCAGAAATATGACAAGCAGAATCAAATTCATAGCGATTTCCATTTGCAGAATCTGTGCAAAAAAAATGTGTTTTTGTCGTTATATTTCCATGCTTTCACCAGAAACGATTCGGAACAGATTCTGAACAAATTCCACCGGTCCCAGGTTAAGCTAACTTCAGGTTTGAGACATGACATTCGCAATTCGTTCGGGTATTCGACAGTCTGGAGCAAGGTTCTGGAGTTTTTGTTCGGTTCCAAAACTGTTGGTGATAAAATAGGAACCTGAACCCATTCACAAGTTGGGTTCGGGTTGCTCACTCCGAGTTACTCCAGCCATTATCTGATAAGCTAAAAGGTAATACCCGAACGGCTGAAGTGCGAACGGAATCACTCGAAGTGCACGGAGTGAGCAAGCTGAACCCAACTATAACTGGGCATGCGCTCTACGATAGTCCTCAATTAGTTCCGGACTGGTTCGGGATCGGTTCAAAATATGATCCGCGAACAAAGCTATTAGCAGCGAGTGGCACTTCAAAAAAATTTAACGTCAGCTGTCAAAAAA